CATACAAAAATCTCAAATATTAATCCACAAATTCATCTACTCAAATGAAAAAAAAATCCCCAGAAATTAAATTTGAATGCCATAAAAAATAAAATTCAAGCCATACACTCTTCTATACCTCTTGATAGAGTATATGAATCATCTACTTTTCATCATTAATGGCTTCAAAAATTACTGACAACTTCTCACATCTTTATCAGTTAACTCCCTGTTCCTCATATCTGAGGTGGTATTCCTTTTCTGTCCCTGAGACTCAGTTTGCTCTGTGAAATCCTACCTAATTATGGCTATAATTCCTTATGATGAAATTAATGAGGGCTTCTTTCCTTGGGCCTACTTTATCAATTCATCAACTTCCCTACTATTATTTCACCACTAGAGACATCAACAATTTCTTTACAAGTAAATCTCTTTTACTGCTCAACTGGAAGGGACAATATTTTAGGTCATCTGGTGTAAACTGTCTATTCATTGGACCCTCTAAGTGTTGATTGAGCTCCTGGTAGTGCTAGTATGAATAAAAGGTGCCAGGGATGGTTTTTCTGGAGGTCTTCCTGAGCTGAGACTTAAGAGGTGAGGGTAGCCCAGCCAGAGTGCAGGAAAGGGTACAAGCAAGACAGGAAGTAGCAAGAGAGAAGGATGAGTATTAAATGGGGCGTGTGCTTGCCCCCAAATATAGGAATTAGTGAGGAGTAAAGGCCAGAGGGAAGGGAAGACAGGAAATAGGAAAGGTAGCAGAATACAACAGTCACTAATATGCCATTATGTAAAAATGTGAGTATGTAACAGATGTGATTCTGCAATCTATATTAGGGGTTGAAATGGGAGTTCAAAACCCAATTGAGTCAAATGTATGAAAGATGATTTATCATGAGCTCTGTAATGTTTTGAACAATCAATAAAAAAAAGAGAGTTGGGCAAAAGTCATTTTATGAAAGCACTAGAGATAACATTGAAATACTTTCCCATTCATGTCCTTTAGTGGTTCATGAACATAATTTCATGGGAGTTAGATTTTTCTAAATGCTATGTGTATAGTGAATGTCAGGCACATCTGGATAAATGGAAGGAGATGAACAAGTACAAGGGAATATGCAACATTAAGAAGATGCCTGCCTGAAATGAAGAAATTCCCACAAAAATATTCAATATAAACAATATTATAAAATAAGTTTTTATTCAATGAATATCAGTATAAATATGATTCCCTGGTAAATGAGACTCTGCTCAATTCTCTACAAAAGTATCAAATAATTTGTGAGGTGAATTACAGGGACTGTGTAAGTTGCTTGTGTTTACTTGGTTGCTTTTCACTTTTATATGTTCCTAAGTCCAGGACACTCATTTAGGTGTTTTGTTAATAATTTCCTGATTCTTGGATCTACCAAGCTCAACAATAAATAAGACAAGGCTAGGGGTGAGGCTCAGTTGTAGGGAATCTTCTTAGCATGCAAAAGGCCCTGATTTCAAACCCCTTCCTTTAAAAAGAATAAAAGGACGTAAGAACACTAAATTCAATGGCACAAGTAAGTACCTGTAAATTTATAGCTCTTAGGAAATACCCTGGAAATAATTGATTTTCTTCTATAAAAAACAGTACAAGATAATAATGTACAGGAAAGAGAAAAACGTGAAATAGGTGTGATTTCATAGTACAAACCCAATCAAGTCAGGGAATAAGGGCAATGACTTAATAGATACATAAAGTTGAACTAATGTTCAATGATATTATCTGCATAGACTTGGTGTCAAGTTAGTACTAAAACCGGTTTTTAAGGAGAGTTTTTCTCTCGGTTTTAAAACTTGTCTCTAACTCATGGAATCAAGGACAACTTTTGTTTTACCCCAAGAATAAGAGATTGTAATGTGCACCAATGTCCAGCAATTCAGTGAGAATTTTTCTAACATATTACAGTCTAAAAACATCAAATTCTGAATCCCTAAAAATTTCTGAGAATTC